TCAGACTTGATTTTTAAGAAAACCGATACTTAGTCATTAACTAAAATTACCATTTTTTAATTGACCATTAATTATAAAACCAAAGTATGGCATTATTAATATTAGTCATGTCATACTTTGAAAATGTTAGGGGGGCGTGCGCCCCCCACCCCCCACCCCCCCCCCTTAATTCCGCCAGTGCAAAGTATGGCATTATTAATATTAGTCATGTCATACTTTGAAAATTTTTTGGGGGGGGGGGGGGGGCGTGCGCCCCGCCCCCACGCCCCCCCCCTTAAAACCGCCAGTGATGATGATTTATTGAGCAGACTTCTACATGTATATGTAGATCGCCGTGGTTATACTCGGACAAGATAATACAAAGATACATATTCATATTATTTGTTATAAATTCAATTTTCAGAACCTGATATTTAAGTAATATGCTGTTATAGTTTTTTTTTATTAAACAGACAAATGAGAGAGAGAGAGAGAGAGAGAGAGAGAGAGAGAGAGAGAGAGATTTTAGCCCCCCCCCCCTCCATTCAGGCTTTACTAAATGTTTGTACCTATATCAAACAACAACTCTGAATTTTTTTTCTAAATATATCAGACAGTGAAAGTAACTTTTTTTTATCAACAAATCATATCCATTTGTTTGACAGCCATACTCGTTTTTATTTTCCTGCTTCAAGTTCACACGAAGTCCACGTGCTTGTCCTGTCAATCAAAATCATTCGACACTGTGGAGGTGTGAAAGTTTCGTCACATCGAAGACGAAGTATTTCCAACAAGTTATAGCATTTATTTTTATCTTTTTATCTTTTCTAGATTTGATCCCAACATTTGAATAATAAATGAATAAAATACATTGGGCATTAACACTTGAATTTGAAACATACTCTCTGCCAATTTCAAATACCACCGCCGACACGTGTACATGTTGAACTACTATTGTTTTGTGACTTTTTTAGATGCATGTTTGTTTTGAGACTGGAATTTTTATTCTAAAAAAGACCTTAACTTTAAAAAAAAAAGTTAATTAAAATAATCTGGAAATACAGTACTGACTAAGTAACCAATCTAGAGGGAAAAGCGGGGGGTGGGGGGGGGGGTTAATAATCATATGGCAAACATATAAAGTTACGGTGAAGAAAGAGTTTTTTCTCTATAACTGTAGACTTTACATATTATAGTAGAGAAAATTCTGTAGTGCAGTACATTTCAAATAAATGTTTCCTTTAACCACACTATCAATTTAATTCGCTCCAAAGATAATAAATTAACAGGATATCCGCAGTACTATGTATAACTCTCAGAACTAGTTCTATCATATTTTCTGTAGTAATTGAAAAAAAAACGTGTTAGAAATAAATATTTCCGTAATTTTGCTGCGTTATTATTTGACTTGGATAATTATATCACCATTAACGATTTGTCGTCTTTAGAAAAACAACAAAATGTTGCAGTACTTGAAGTATTTGCACATTACCCTTAGTTAAATTTAATATTTCAGCATCGTTCTACATAGGTATAGAATGTGCTTATAACAATATTTATTTTCCAGAGTAATTTAATAAATAACCTAACAGCTAAGTTAGAATAATAAACATAAAAATCGTAGATATTTTTCAACATGAAATAATGATTCTTCAAACACGATATGTTAGTTATTAAATTAAAAAAAACTGTAACTCCTTCCCTACAAAAAGATAAGTCCTTTCACTTCGGAGTTCCGAATGACAATGAAAACTGAACGATAGGTGAACGCTGAACGCAAGGTGAACGCAAAGTGAACAGAACGAAGAGCGAACGCTGAACGCTTTGTGAACGGTGAACGCGAGCGCACGGTGAACGGTGAACGCAAAACTGTGAACGGAGAGCGAACAGTGAACGCACGCTGAACGAACGGTGAACGCACGCTGAACGAACGGTGAGCGAACGGAAAAATGGGAAAGTAGAACGTTTCAGGGACTGTAATAGTGAGGGTTTTTCAAAGCCTAAATACATAATCACTGCCCATATGCTCAAAGAATGTATATAAGAAAAATTACAAATTCCCTTTTTCTCTCAAGAATTCCTCGCCAATGATAAATTAATTTTTTTCAAAAGTATAGACAATGTATTACAAAAACATGTTCCTTCTTAGATTACTAGATTTACTGAAATCAATAATACAGAACAACAAATATCGTAGCCGGAAAATTTCCACTTCAGAATGTTTCATGAAACACGAGAGAGGTTTAATTTTTTCCCGGAACTGTTTCGGGATTCTTGAATAAGTTTCAAGATTATGCCTAGGTGTAGGTTATATTCATGTCTTATAATAATACACAATGAATTGTGTAATTTTTGACATTTAAATCGATCATGCTCACATGTTAATTTAGCTAGCAAGCTATTTAATGATTTTGATAAGTAGTGTGCATAAATTTTGTTAGAAAACAATCACAGTCAAAGATTCTATGAAAATGACATTTCTCTAGTAAGAATTAAATACGCAAAGGATACTTCTTACATTATAAAATATATTACCTTTTTTTGTAGTTAATTAAAAATATAATTTCCTCACAAGAAGGAGAAAATTCAGTGATTTAAAACAAAACACAGTTAAAAAGAAGACAGTGCCTTATAGATTTTAGAAGTAGTTTGTGTTGCAAAACAACGACGTCGCTTTTTTTTCTGTAACATAAATACCTGTCAGGTAACATGAGGGGAAATTTGCGTTGTACCTCTCATATATTCTTATTCCCTTTGTCAAGAGCCATTTAGTATTCTTCTGAGAAAATGTTCTAGATTCATCGTCATCCCCTATTATATAATTATTCAATATCTTTTAAAAAGTTGAGATCCACACCGCTTTACTAGATATATTCACCCTATATACTTACGTCTAGATGCATTGAGTATTCTTTAGTTTGAAAAGGAAAAATGAATTATATTTTCATCGTATAAGCATATTATTTAGACTATCGCCACAGTGCAGAACTATTTCATTTATCTAAATTTCATAGGAAAGTGTATATCAGTTATAAATCTAATATAATAAAGGTTTTAAAATGTTAAATGTACACATGTATAAACGTTATATGATAACGATATCTAATTATTTATACAGATTAAGATGCATATGATGGCCAAAATTTTTAACATTCAACTAAAAATATATTCCATGTATCTGTATATTCTAATACTTCGCTTGCTGCCATTGCCTCCTGCATTAATGTTGAATGTATATAACTATTCATCTGAATAATGATAATGAATTACATATAAAGAGGCTAAGGTTGAAATAAAGATTTTTTTTTATCAACAGAACTGGTTTCTACAGAGGTATTTGTTACAATTTATGCTTTCCATGCTACTTTAAGGGGAAAATTGAACAAAACCTAGGGCAATAGAATTTAATAGTTATAATTCCTTGTACATTTTTGTACATATAATTATTTTTATTATATGATGGAATAATTCCAGTTTCTCTGATTGGCTGAGATCCAACATTGTAGAAAAAATACTACGTTATGTTTACCTGCACGTGGCCTTCTAGGTGAACATCAAGATTTATTTTTTCTATATTGGACTAAAAATAGATCGGAAAATTCCAAACTCATACAAATAGTTTTTGAAAGTTATTTCACTTGCACCAGACTGCCACTCAGGTGAAGATAACATATAAATGTTATATAAATGGGATATAAAATCTGGGGAGGGGTGGTTGTGGGGGAGGGGGTCTGCCCCCTCCCCACTCCACACATACGCACTATTTTTCTTAACGTAAATTTTCACTTTAATTTAGTATAAAAATGTTCACTGAAAGGCTGGACCCCCCACAATAACCCCCCGATCCACCTACCCACAACTCCCGAAATAAAATTTAGAGTTCGGAGAATTCTTTTTTTTTTTTTTTTTTTGTTGAGGTGCGTCATTAGAAAAATGACAGACTGAAGAAGAATAGTTTTACTCTTTTGAAATTTCTTTAAAAAATATATCTCTAGCTCCCACGCGGAAAAGCAATTCTAGCTCTCCCACACTGAAAAGATTTCCTTTTACATAGACAATTATCCGTATGTTATTGTGCTTTATGGTAACTATGATTAAAAGGTAATCTTCTAAGTATCAATGTGCAGCCTAACATTTTTCTTAAAGCTAGGCATCTTGGTACCAAAGAAAATATTCTTAATATTATTGATGATTGATTTTCTCGCTTGAAGCTCAGAAGTTCTGAATCTAGCTCCTTGATATATTTAAATTCTTTTTTAACCTCCATATAACCAGTTTTAAATGTGAGAAACCTGTTGTCTTCAATATTCAGGCATATGACGAATGAATTTCTCCCAAATGTCGAGTAATGGATTGATAGAGTAAAGGACATTGACAAAACCGTACCTATTAATCACTTGATTCAGAATTTTGATAACACTTGAGAAAATAGAGAAGGTATCTGATTGTGGTTGAAGCAGCATTGAAAATACATGTGTTTGTCCCGCCCGCTTTCTCAGAAAATGAAGATAATTTGAGACAAAATACGACCATGGAAATAACTTAAAAGCATTGAACGAGGTTCACTGAATTTTGCATATTAAACATTTCCATAATTGGTTTAATTGTGTTGCTCAATGTATGATGTGGTATAAAAATAGGGATGTTTAGCCAATTTAGATTTCACTTCCTTGTACAGAGTAAAGCGGAAGGAAGTCTCTAAGGAGGAAACCATTATCAAAGAGTTCCACAGCTTAAGGTTCATTCACCCCTCCAATAAGAGAGATAACTTTCAATGGAGTAATTCACTTTTATTCCTTTGTAAAGTTGTAAAGTTTTAAAAATTTTGCTCACCAAGGTATGCTAAAATTGTGTGTTTTCCAATTTTGACTCAGATTTCTTTTCGAAAATTTTTAGCCTTAAAGTAAAATTTAATATGAGTGAACAGAGGGATGTTGAACCTTAAGGGCTGTGCTCACGTGCGCGATTTGAGAGACAATGCAAAATTGGCAAACAATTCATTCGACATTTTTCCATGGAACAATTCAATTAACCATGCTGATATTTTTGCTGTTGTTTTTCGAAGGAACAGATGCATTGAACTGTGTAGGGTATGCATTTTATCCATAGTAGAAATTTTATCAATCAAAAATTGTTGATGCGTGATAAATTGATCGGATTTTAAGTCTATTTTGGAAGTGTATTATCAATTAAAAGTTTACTCAGTAATGTCCAGTCAACTAACCATCAGGGGACAATTTTTTCTATTTTCAACTTTTATTGATGAGATCAATTTCTGTAAAGATTATTATAATGGTCAATATGCTAGACCCCAGGGGTTTAAAGGGTTTTTATCACGTATCTAAATCTCTTTAAAATGAAACACTATTATATTATTGAAACATATAATTATCGTTTAATTATGAAATTATTTTGAAAATGATCGTAATTAGACGATATAGCGCCCGTGATATAAGGCCCTCGAAGTAAAAATCTCCACTAATTAGACAGGGGTCACGTGGTACTGAAACGTCATAGGTGTCAATGGTCAATTAGAACTCGTAAAGCTTATCATAAGATAAAATTATATTGAATAGATTTTTACGTTTACTTGCCGCTTAGACTCATCTAAATTATTAACAGTTCTCTTCAAAATTAATTGCATTAATTTCCTATTATTATTATTATCATTATTATTATTTTGTAAAACGTCATTATTATTTGTAAAACCTCATCTACCAAAAAAAAAAATATATATATATTAAGCTTGTCCTTAGTTTACCTTGCTTAAGATATTTTGTGATTTTTGTTTTGTCTAAAATGTTAAAAGTTCTTACATATATATAAGAATGATTTATCACGAAGGGAATATTTTGCAGCATTATATTTTTTGGTCTAAGTCTTAAGTTCATTTGTAAAAAAAAGAAAGAAAAAAAAAAAAAACCTTAGCGGATTCTTTACCCGTTTTTAATGTTGATGAAGTGGTGTATTAAGCTTTTTCGGTCTAAAACAAAAATATTTGAACATTTGGATATAAATGTCACTATGTCAAATCAATAAAATAATTTAGCATTGACTTCGTATTGCTATATTTAACTAATCCCAGTTCTAGGATGAGATCATTTGATACAAGATAATATATTGATGCTAAGCATCAAATCGGCCACAAACTTTTCACGTGCTAACATGTAATCCTGAATATATCACAAATATGTGATAAAGATGCTGATGATTTCTGCAGATGATGGACATCACAATAACCACAAAATAATTGAGAAGTGTCGAAAAAAAATAGTCTGGCGTTAATTGTGTCATTAGCATTCGTAGCAAGTTCAAAACAAAGTTAAAATCCGAATCTGACATTTGGACCCTTCTTGGAAATAAAATCCTGGATCCAGCTAGGTTAGGTAAAAAATTATAAATTTAGAGAGAGAGAGAGAGATAAAATTTTCAGATAAAATGGTGTCATATATAAACTTTGTTTCTTCTTTGTAGAAGGAATAGAGAAGTTGAGTGCTGTACAGGTTATAAATGGAATGACATCACTGGAAATTGCAGCACAAGTAACTTCCTTTTTTATTGAATATGTCTTTCTATATACATTATATTGCATAATTTACAAGAAACATTCATTTTTGAATTGATCAAAGATTAAAAGGTAATGCAAATGGGTCGCAATTCTTTTATTTGTTAAAGATTACAGCGAATTAAATAAAATCAAAGGAAAAAAAAGCACCGAATTTCATCCACAATTAACGGAGTTATAGTCTCTTATTGAAATACAATGTATATGTATGAAGAGAAGATGGAGTCTCTCTCTCTCTCTCATTGACGTAAATTAGTCGTGCTTTCCTATGCTAAATTACATCCTGCCATTTAATGTATTTTTCAAACTTTAAAGTCAGATCTCTGACAAATAGTATACAACATGTACATGTAAGTGCTTACACACCAAAAAAAATTGTCAGTAAAGTATATAGAAATATTATATTGTAAACGTCTGTCTCCCGTGAAGGTCGTTTTTATTCCTGACAAGTATAGAATTTTATAATGGTTATAATAAATTCAAGGAAAAGCAGATACGATATAGAAAGCGATTATGATAACCGTTGATTTGCGATTTATTATTATAATCTTATTTAAGGTATTCAATGTATAATGAATGGATTCTCAAATTTTTTTAATCATTTTAAACTCGTTAAAAATGCATCGCTAGATAACGATGGTAGGGAAATGAACCAAATTCATATGACTGATAACAAGAAAGAAGCTGGCCATTTTGCACCTTAAAAGTTTTTTGAGGAGTTAATTTTAATTTTGTCAAAATACCTGTGGTAAATGGTTTATTTTATTTCATATTTTAATAAAGAGATTGCTTTTTTACAATATCTTAATAAAACCTGCGCTGTCCATAGACTTCAATGTAAAATTCAAGGTGAAATTTATTTGATAATAATCAAAATTTTGTAAATTCCTTTGGTGGAGTATTTTTATTTAATAACACTTTCAGAATGCTATCATGGTTAAAAGTATCGGACCATTTATTTATAAGGTACAAAATATGGTCGTCATACATTGAATACCTTAAAGTTCATCAAGTGCTTTAAGATTATCGTAGTATCGTAACTTTTATTAACTACAGACACACAAAATATAAAATCTTTTTCCCAAAACGGGTAACAAATTTAATTTGAACTAATACTACAGTTCCCTTAAAACTTTGTTTGTAAAAGTCACTACAAAGTAAAAGAATCGCTCAAAAAAATCAGCGTAACATCCAGTGTTTTCTTAGCATTCTAAATGGTGGTCCATGTAGTGACGTCACAGTGGCCAAATGCCTGAAACCGCTCGATTCAGAAAATCGCTCAGGTTTGAATTGGGGTTTTTACCTGATATCTCCGTTAATTGTGCAAAGATTTTGATGTGTTTTTTCCCTTGGGATTATTTTACCGTAATCTTTAACATATAAAAAAAAATGCAAACCATTTCTATTACCCTTTAAATAAAAGGTAACAGTTAAATTCTACATTCATTGTATTTGAACTGATATTCAATTGACCCTTCTAGTCTCCTCCAAGATATCATTGACGTTAAATCTGTAATATACATTATTTGTTTATAAGTTTATTAATTAAACATAAAATCAATTTCTTTAGAGTAAAAGTGTGCACAGTGCCTCGTGACTTTTAATTTAATTTTTTTGAATAATATTTCCTGTAAACTGTCAACTGATGTTTATTGTTCAATTATATTTACTAAATACTGAGAATAGATGAGGAAATTGAAAGCTTATACGTGTGAGTAAAAATAAGGAAGTATTTTTTTTCTAATGATTAAAGAAGATACAAAAGTTAATTTTGATACCAAAATGAAATTGATATTGCAGCATATTAACAAAAAGCTTTAATACATGTACAGTGTATGTTATAAACCCCCAGGTGTGTAAACGTACCATTACCCTTTCTAGCCTGGCAAGTACTTGTTTATGCGTTTAAATTTAATGTCCTTCATATAAATTTGTATTTAAAACTGATTTTTTGGCCTCATCAGTTTATGTAATTTTCTTACCATATTTAGAGTGTGATCCTGGTTACTTCGGCATAAACTGTACCGGCCAATGTAGTCCTGGTCGATATGGAGAGGCTTGTGCCTATCAGTGTGTTGAGTGTGAAAAGACTGAGTGCAATGTTTCATTTGGGTGTCCAGTCACCATAACAGGTAAGGTAGCAAGAAATGTACAAACTACAAATTATCTGTCCTCAGATTTTCATAAAATGAAGATCAATTTGTCACTTTTTTTAGCTCACATCGACGAGATTGGGGATATTTATGCTATAAACCCCGTTTTGGTGTCGGTGTCTCATATTTTAATCTTTCTTTTTTTTTAGCAGATTTATTTCCATGCTTCTTTATGCCTTATATTGACCAGAGTTGCATAGATGATGTATCTTTTATGCCTCATTGTTCCCAGTCAGGTACATGTGATGCATTTTCGATCAATATTTTCCTGAACAATGACAATGTTTTGCTTTTGGAGCAGGTGTAAATTTTGGGAGGGGGTTAAAATCTAAATTAAAGCAAACTTGCACTACCAAAATTGGTAAGGATGTTAGGCCTGACCTACATTTTTTGGATGAGAAAGCCAGTATAAAATTTAAGGAGAAAGTCAAATTCAAGGTAAATATAAGCCTGCCCTTGACCAAACATGTAGTGCAAACTACCAGGATTGTTTGTATGCTAGATATATGACTGATATATCCAAATGACTGAAAGGGTTAAAGTTTAAGATTAATAAAATTCTCAACAAGTCCTGCAAAAGTCCTCCAAAAAATCCTTGATGTTCTACTGATGCTGGACACCTGAACTATTAATAGTACTTGACCATAAGTGAGTCATGATTTCTTTTTATTTTTCATTAAAAGTATCAATGAAAAACGCCTTTTTGAAAAAAAGTTATTTCAAAGTTATTTGTAGTACAATATTTATGGCTGTAATATTACAGTGTATAAAATGGAGAATTACTTGTAGATTCTTCACAGAATTTCAAGGTGATTACAAACCTCTAAGGCAAAGTTGAGTTGTTATGGCACAGAATTGTAAAGAAATTATGGTACCTTGGGATTTGAAATTCTGACATGATGAATTCTTAATTCAATCTCGATTTCCAGTGTAAAAGATTTCTATTAGCATATTTCAGGAAAGGAAAATTTGAAAAATTCTACATAATTAAGTGAAAAAAATATGGAAATCGGAATTAAATTACCCTCTAAAGAAGTTTTTACAAAAATCGTGTTATTGTTCGCGGACTTTTAACATAACTTTTTTCCCTTAATGTAATATAATTATATATCCAAATTATATCCAAATTTACAAGACATGTTTTGACAATAAATTAGAGAGATGTATATAAAATTTTTCAAAAAAATTACACAATTTTTACTGTTTTTGAGGTCAGTACGGTGATTTAGATCCTTGAGCCTGAATGGCGAGGTGAATATTGATATTGTACTTCGAAGGTTGCTGAATCATCGTATTGACCGAAAAAAGCAATAATTGTTTAATTATATTATTCATTGATTAAATGACACAAACTCGTTAAGTAACCCATGCCAGCTTACTTGTTTACATTAGCTGAAGCCCTAGCCAAACATAATGGGAGACACAGAGTTTAAAAAAAATAACCAGTTGTATTAATTTGGGATTTAAAAATCTATTTTAGGTGCAATGTAGAAAAAATAAATGTCAGGCACTTAAATAGGATCGTTTTTAGAAAAAATCAAGATGTGTTTTTGAAACACTGATGCCCCCGAATGGCAGCTTGAGGCAAAGGTTAAAGTTTCTCAGATGCAAGTCAAACTCCAGGTCAAGAGATCAAAAATGTTAGTATCCAAAGAAAGGAATATACCTGTGAAATTTGAAAGCCATAGCATCAATTGTTCAAAAGTAATGGCGAAGGTTAAAGTTTTTTAAAAGTAAGAAAAACGTCAAGGACAAATGGGCCCCAAGGGAAGGTCTTGTCACAAGTAATACACATGTTCGTGAAATGTGAAAGCCCTAGAACCAAACGTTCATATGTTATGGCCAAGGTTTAAGTTTTTTTAAAAGTAGGTCAAACTTCAAGTTCAATGCCAAAATTAATGGTATCCAAAGGAAAGTCTTATCACAAGGAATGCACATGTGAAGTATGAAGCCCTAGCACCAAATGTTTAAAAGTTTTGGCCAAGGTTAGAGTTTTTCAATAGTAGGTATAACTTGAAGGTCAAAGGGTCAAAGGTGTTGGTATCCAAATGAAGGTCTTGTCACCAGGAATAGACATTTAAATATGACAGCCTTAGCACCAACCATTTAAAACTTATGGCCAAGGTTAAAGTTTTTCAAAAGTAGGTCAAACTCCAAGATCAAGGTCAAAGGGTCAAAGTCATTGGTATTTGAAGAAAGATCTTGTCACAAGGAATACAACTGTGAAGGTTGAAAGCCCAAGCACCAACTGTTCAAAAGTTATGGCCAAGGTTAAAGTCTCATAAAATTTCGCAAAAGTGGGCCAAACTCCAAGGTCAAAAGGTCAAATATGATGGTACCCAAAGAAAGGTCTTGTCCGCAAAAACTTTAACCTTGCCAATAACTTTTGATTGGTTGGGGCTATACCTTCCATATTTCACACGTGTATTCCTTATGACAAGACCTTTCTTTGGGTACCATAAAAATTGACCTTTTGACCTTGACCTTGGAGTTTGGTCAACGGTTTGTGCTAGGGCTTTCATACTTCACATGTGAAATCCTTGTGAAAAGACCTTCCTTTCAATATAAAAGAACTTTGACCCTTTGACCTTGACATTGGAGTTTGACCTTCTTTTGCAAAACTTAAACCTTGGCCATAACTTAAATTGTTGGTTCTAGGGCTTTCATACTTCACATATGTAATTGTTGTGACAACACCTTTCTTTTTATACCAACAAATTTGACCCTTTGATTTTGACCTTGGAGTTTGACCTACTTTTGCAAACTTTAACCTTGGCCAAAACTTTTTAATTATTGGTGCTAGGGCTTTCATACTTCACATTTGTAATCCTTGTTACAAGAGCTTACATTGGATACCAACAACTTTGACCCTTTGACCTTAGAATTTGACCTACTTTTGAAAGACTTTCACCTACGATATAACTATTGAACGGTTGGTGCTAGGGCTTTCATATTTCACAAGTGTATTTCTTGTGAGAAGGCCTTTCCTTGGGCACCATTAATTTTTACCATTTGAACACTTGACCTTGATGTTTGACCTACTTTTGAAAAAACTTTAACCTTTTCTATATTTATTCAATGGTTGCTTCTAGGGTTTTCATATTTCACAGGTATATTCCTCGAGACAAGACCTTACTTTCGGTACCAACATATTTGATTTCATTTTAGAAAGTTTAATCTTTGTTATGAGTTAATTGCCAGACGGGGACATTAGTGTTTCACAAACACATCTTGTTTGTCCAATGTAGAGAAAATAAATCCCAATGTTCATCAGGATTGTCACGTGCAGGTGAACATTTTATAGTATTTTTTCTACAATATTGGATCTCACCCAATCAGAGAGATAGGAATCATTCTTAATAAAATTATGTAGTATATACTGGGGAAAATCCCAGAATAAACTCTGAAAATGATGGGGGAAGCAGAAAATATGTCAAAATGGAGTCTTGCATCTGTATGTAAATAGAACAGGCGGTTAAAATTTTTGAATGATAGAGACTCTGTATCAAACGAAGACGATTTGTGAGGAAACGGATATCTGTAAAAATCAAGAGTTATATACACTGTAGTTATGTCAGGGAGAAATACGCGCCTCGCTGTTGCTGGTGTTATGCGGTAAAAAAGAAAATATGGACAAAAGATATATTGCTACTAGAACAATTGTTCGCAAAATAAATAGCAAGTGATATAGAAACTTTTGCAAAACGGAGTATTGGGCGAGACTGCGTGAAATGCATAGGGAGAGTATTTTTGAGAAACTCATGACGCTATGTTTTTGACTTTACAATGTTGTGTGCTCTATGCAGTATGAATGGTTTCAAAATATGCTGATTTTAAAATTAAATACCATTATTTCCATTTAATTACGTGGAGTGAACATTCAGATATCAACAAAATAATTTTTCCTTCATATGATAATGTTCTATTTAAATTTCTTCATAAGAGTACATCGAAAAATGGCATGGTCCGTGAACTTTTCCAGCAGCCCTCGTATAAAGTAAAAGAAATTATGACTCACGTATGGCCACATACTGGACATTTTCCAAATGATTGATTCTAATTCCAAGAATTTAAAAGTCCTATATACAGGGTGTCCCAAAACATATGTTACACTTTCAAACTGTTATAAAATTTTAATAACTTAAGTTACATTAATGAAATTTACAACATATAACAAAATTGTTTTAAATTTTTTGTCAAGCATACATTTGTCACAGTTTCCTAAAATCACTAAAACTTTCTTTGGAATAACATATGTAATTTTACAATATATGTTCCAAATGACGTCCCTTTGTCTTTAACATTGTTTGAACACGATTTCTGAAGTTTTTTACCACAGCTTTACATGTATACACAGAGATTGATCTTATTTCTCGTGTAATAGCTGTTTTTAGGTCCACTGTTTGTGAGGAAGCAGAGTACACTCTATCTTTTAGATAATCCCAACATTATTCAGATGCAAGTGGGCTTCATCAGAAAACCATATGTCATCTGTTAAATTTTCAGAGTCAGGTCTACTTAAAATCCAATTGACAAACTCTAAACGACTTCTGATGTCTATCTCTTTCAAATGCTGCATTACACTTATCTCGTAAGGAATCAATTTTAATTCAAATTTGAGTATTCTATGAACACTAAGTTTACTAACGGTGCCATTTAGTTCATGCAGTACCCGTCTAACTGATTTTTGTGGAGTTTCAGTAATAACTCTATCAATGGCATCAATGTTCTCTTTGGTACGGACACTCCTTGGTCTCCCATACCAGAATTGTGTCTTGTGTCATTTATGGTGCCTTTAACCTCAAACTTCCTCACAAGTTTGTAAATTAGCATTCTGTTGAACACTTTCATTCCAGGATGTTGTTTTCTCATGGTTCTAATGACTAAAGTAGCAGATTTACACTCAAAGTAAAGTTTGACAATTTCTACCAGCTGTTCACATGAAGGTTCCATCTTAAAAATGTGATGTCATTATGACGTCATTATTACCTGACTATTGAACAGAACTCCCGAAATTTTGTCAAATAAAATTTATACTAATACACTAGATGTTGACAAAATATCTTCATAATTGCTTTGGGTTTGATAAAGTTATAGATGATTGAAAGTGTAACATATGTTTTGGGACACCCTGTATAATGAGCATTATGCATGATGCATCTAGTGATGTTGCACTACCAAACATATATCAGATGCTGGATTTGACCTACATATTTCGGAAGAGTGACCAGACTAAAGGCGATTAAAGTTAGGAGAAAATTCATTTGCAAGTACATTTTTGCATATAACTATCACTCTTACTGTGACGAAACTTGCCTGAATGATGCATCTAGGGCACTGATGTATACCACCAGACTTGCTTTGGATGCAGCATTTGATCAACATTTATACATGATTAAATAGTTAAAAAGTATTTGACCAACATAATTTTAAAGTAACTTTTAAGGTCTACCCAGATAAGACTTAAATGGGTGTTACATCAAAAGGCGTATTACCAGAATAATTATTTAGTATTTGGTGTACGTCTCTGCCTTACTTCAAGTCAAAATTGTTAACCTAAGCTTCAAAATACATGTACATGTATTTGATTACCTATGTTTAAATTGCCTTCTTCACTCTTTAGGAAAATAAGAAAATTTTATATAATTACATGTATTATTTGATTACCTATGCTTAAATTGCATTCTACACTCTTTATGAAAAAAAATTGTATTCAAAATTTCATTTTCACGTTCGAAAAACTTAAGTCCAATATTACTTTTGACAGAAAAAATTCAAGGCATCGAAAACAGAAACCATGCCAAAGAAGAGAACGCAGTGAATATTTGGCAAATGGTATCCCTTGGCTTCTCGGTTGGAACATTTGCAGTTCTGGTCATAGTATTGGCTTACAAGTATACCTACAGAAACTGGATCAAAGTCACTGCCAATCCTCAAGCTGAAAACAATACGAAGGCAGATTCAAACTATCTGGCACTTAATAATATAGCCGTCTACAGTGGAATGGCAAAGGTTCAGATAAACCTCAACACATCGGAGAAAAATTTCACCGTTATCCTAAATACTGATTCAGAAGGAACAACCAACATAGAAGCATTGCGTCGATTGGAAAACAGTGAACCCAAAAGTCCATACGCTTTGGAGGCCTCTTTGAATGGAAATGCAAAAGTTTATGAAACTCTTCATTAAATAACATGTTTTCCAGGCCGCTGAAATATGGCCGAAATATTTCATTATCATTTCACCAGGGATACGTATTGTTCATGTAAAGATGATATCTGAATTATCTAAAATTTTACTTCGATCCTTCATGCTTTCAAAGGAACGAATTGGATATGAACATCTTGTCAATTTTGATGACAGAATATCCTGTACATCTAACATCCACGTCCGGAATTGTTTTCGACGGTTCTAAGAAAGATTTGTACAATCATGTATTTAGTTTTAAATTATCCGAATTCTAAAATTTATAATGTAACATTTGTACTGCCAATTGATGTAGATCTTTGCAATGTAATTATTCTACCGAGAAACGATGTTGGGGCCTTATTCTAATGACTTCACAGATTTTGTTTGTATAATAAAAAATAAATACATGTAAATAAAATTATTATAATAAATTCTATTTCAATGTGTTCCAATTATTTCCTAGGCTTCTTGCATCTTTGAGGATTGAAAAACAAGAAGTGGATGAATGAATTATTAATATAGTATAATTCACCTTAAAGGCGAACAAGAAGTGCAAAATGCCTATAGATTCAGATATATAAAATCATATTCCATTTGTGGATGAAGTATTTCGAGCATTAAGTTCTCATTGAAATTTATGAAATTATGACAAACAAAACTTTTCAAAGGAAAAAAAAATTCTCGGTAAAAATTATTCTAGTATTTAAAAAAGGGAATGTGGTGTTCTTGGGGTTCGAACTCTTGCAATAAAAAGCCCGAGTATCATTTCCCTTTCATACTAACACGCTAACCATTACGCTACACATCTCCTGATGAATTCTTGCATTTAAATCATGTTTGTAATATGACCCTTGACTAAATAGACTTAAGTATTTCTCGGAAATATACGAATGTTGTGTCATAAAAATTTCAAGGTAAAGTGAGTCTTCGCTCTATGTTTTTGTTAACCCAAAAAAGTATATTTTTATGCAAATTTTGAGGATAAGCTTTCAAAAAAAATGCAGCAAGAACCCACTCATATGGAAAAATTGCGTTATAATATTAGAAAATGGATCCTTTTTGCCCTCTTTGGTGTGTGTACTATGCTATTTCATAGACAAATAATTTCAATCTCTGTGAGATTTTTGCAAATTGTGGAGATTCTACATTGAATATACTGTATATACGAATAAAACATTTATTTTATATATGTTAGGTGAAATTCAAGGAAAATTTTGTTATAATTGAGATTTATTATTGTCGCAACATATAAAGGCATTTCACTCGTTTTATTTGCCCACCTTCTTTGAATTTTTTAATAAGCAACCACTTTTTTGTCAGAACAGATAACTTATTTGTCAGAACAATTACATATTTTTTTCTTGGCTTCAACACCATACTATCGCCTTCAATTCCTTAATTGTAAAAGTAATAGCTCTCATGAATTTTGTAAATTAGTTAAAGATAAGATTCTGAAATTACTCAAACTATTTGCTAACAAGGTCATTATAATGACCCAAACGTTTTCGAAATGCTAATTTTGATTTAAACTGTTGAAATCCCTGTACCATCAACTTATTTGTCAGTATCCTGCCTAATTTTAAAAGTTGATAGTACCCAAAGTATGTTCTAGCGTACTGAATAAGTTTTGAGACATAAACACTATATGCAGGAGATATTGGGATATTACTACGTAAATATATGTTAGAAGTTGACAATGGAAATGCCGATTTTGAAGTCATCCTGTTTATCAGATGTTTTTGTTGTTATTTGAACGTCTTAAATCAGTAAAATATCCCAATGGGAAACTACTTAAAAGTTGTTTTTAAAAATACAAAAAAAAAAAACGTTTCCATGGCAATGGAAATTTTAAATATAGGTAAAAAAAAAAAAGTAGCAAACCTAGTGTTGCCGATAATTATTTCTGTGAAATATGTTCAAGCCATCTGCGAGGTCATTTATGGACAAAATTTGTCAATTTTTATTTGTAACCCATGGCAACCGTGGTAATTTAAAAAAAAAATCTAATGCACATTTAGAATTGCTCATCGTCATTTTTGGGAAAAAAGTTTCATTACAGAGGAATGCCACATCAGAATTTTATTTCATAGATCTTTTAAGTCATCCCTTTTAAACTATGGTTAAAACATTGAAAGACTGATATTACCTCTTAATTATTTTATACGATTTTTTTTTTTTTTTTTTTTTTTTTTTTTTTTTTGCATTTGTTCAGAGGAAATGAAAAAAAAAATGCTTTATTTGCAAATAAGATGCTTTATGGTTTAACATTTGCAGCTAATACATGCATTATATGAATGTCTAATAAATTATGCAAAGAAAGACTGAATAGATATTATAAATTTTTAAATAAAAATTATTTATGAAAGAAAACATATTATTTGTGAATATTTTTTAAACCTATGGATAAAATCTTCATAAAACTAGTCACAACTATGAAGACCATGTTAGTCAATCATATTTTTATAAGAAATTGAAATTAAACTGCAAAATTTGAGAGAAAATAATTATCTTAATATTTGGACCAATCCCGATCAAAATCAAACTGATCCCGATTCATAAATAAAATAATAATTTATTGCCTTCTTTAAGCGTTTACTATAAAGAAATCTATTTGATTGTCAAGTTCAATTACTTTTTAACCTGTATTGACTTAAACAAACTAGTATTCTTGTGAAAATGTTACATATTTCTAATTATTATAAAATTCTGGTTGGGATCAGTTTAATTTCGATCAGGATCGGCCAAAAGGGCAAGGTGCGTTTGGTACAAAATTCGGCCCCGTGTCAAAATTAAATAATGTTCCTCAAAACTCTTTCAGAGAGTATATATTTTCATGAAATTATCAATATATGCATGTACAAAGCTTTATTTTTTGTTTTATATGTACGTAAAGGTAGCATAGTTTACGATAACGTTGCGATATTTTGACGTTGCTTTATGCGACGTCATGAACAAGAAATTAATTAACGTCATGTTTTAAAATAAATCAAGCTTACATGTTATATTTTACTATGTACGTTTATTAAATTTCATTTTCATTAATTTTTCTAAAACTTCTTAATTCCATTTCAATTTCTTTTTAAAATATGATTGTCTAATATATCCTCTGTAGCTGTGACTTGTTTTTTGAATATATTATCCATAGGTTTTGAAAATATCCACAAATAATGTGTTTTATTTTCATAAATAATTTTTTAGTGAAAAGATTAAAATGTCTATCTTGTTTTTCTTTATATATTTTATTAGATATTCATATTATGCTTTTATTAACAGCAAAATTTATTCTCTGAAGCATCTCATTTGCAATTAAAACATTGTTTTCGTTTTCTATGAAAAAATGGGGGAAAATTTTTTATAAAATACTTTAAGAGCTTATATCGGTCTCTCATTGCTGAAACCATAACTTATCGGGTTTATGAATTAAAATTTTGGTGTTGTACGTATTCTTCCTTAAGGTTGTCCCAGTCTGGCAATAACAATGTGTCGTCCCGATTTACGTTAGGGACTTCATAATTAAAATAGATTTATCAAATAACCACTGTGATGTAGCTATTGTTCGTTTGTATTGTGTGTTGAGAACACAACAGGTCTAATAGATAGAAATGTAATGCTGCTATTCTACATTTTGATTGCGTGCTTGTCCAGTGTTCGTCAGAAAATTGCAAGAGAATTAAACCTTGAGGCCCAACCTTGTTGGATTACATGTACTCTGTTGGGATGGAGGTCATTTTTCAACAGGGGTCAATTTCTTATAGGTAACACGCACAGGAAACTGACCCCTATGGGTCTTTCTCTACAAAAAATGACATTTTCCTACGGCTTGGGGGTCATTTTTCGACGGCGAAAAATGACCCCCGTTTATTTTTCTATGGGGGTCATTATTTGTCTTTATAAGGGCTACGTCGTGTTATGCAAGCGTCCATTACAACCTTTTTTTCACAAACATTGAAACAAATGTAGGGGAATTAACCTCTTATCTATAGAGCTAAAGTTCACTGGATGCAATTAACGTTCGCGTTGGGGAATATATTCATCCCTAGGGGGCTAACATTATCAATGATGCCCTGAACCCCAGTCAATATCTAATAACCACAGGAGAAACAAACAACTCTGTCTAGCCAATATTTTATTGATGAGAAGCAATGGGAAGCGACTAAATCCACTGATGCAAGTTTTACGAACTTGCCGGAAAGTTCCAATTAAGATGCCATTGCTACAAAACAGTACCACACTGGGCTATTTTACAACATGTAAACTAAGTGTCCACTGACTCTACCGATTCATGTACATATCTAGAGGGGGTAGAGGGTCCAGAACCCCCCCCCCCCCCAAGCGAGGGGGGTCCAGATGAATTTTCTATGTAAAATCACGAAAAGAAAATCCAACCCCCCACCTTCCCACGATATTCAAAATCAAAATTTTGACTTAAATCAGTTTATGGTCTTAAGGTCAGGTCATCACCCTCTCCTCCATGCAATAGATTTTTCAGTTGGACAATTTGTATCCAACTTTTACCCTCATGCCATCCTTTAAATTGTATTTTCCATCTCAGAATTGAAACAAGGAAACACTGATGTTGGCATCAATTGTCACCCGGGAAATACATGTAAATATGAAGTAAAATCTTGATTATTAAACCGCTTAGATTTGTGTGATAAAGTTGTGATAAAGGCGTGCGTCTGAATGATCGAGACTATAGTCGAGAGGATTTACGGAAAGCTTCTAATCAGATGAAAATCGAACAAAAACGATACCGTTTTAAACTTTATCATATCCTCAAGTACATGTAACTGCTGGCTGCATAAAATATAAATTAGAATCAGACACATGTATCACCTATCATCAAAAATATATTTGACTTAACAGTCTAGACGAACTCCAAAAACGGGGTGAACTCTGAAAACGAAGTCTTTGGCTCCATCATGCATTGCGGCAAAATGGCGTCTGATGTAAACAATTAAACGATGGATTGGCGTTCGATTTCTCCAAGTATACGGCTGCAAATGGCTGTATATAGTACATTGTGACTTTATTTTAATTTTTGTTGAATGGATAATTACACTTATTAAATTATTCTGTGGATATTGACTTATTTATCGCTTCCAACTCTTGCATGATAATAGTGAATTGGATATACATGTACGACATCGAATTCACTACTGCCGGTAAAAAAAATTTTTTTAATCAATTTATTGTCTCTTTGATTTAGATTTTATGTTGTTCCTACAATAAAGGTGCTTTTATCCCCCCCCTCCCCCCCCCCCCCGCTTTCGCGAAAGCAAAGGGACATTAAATCTCATTCGTCCGTCTGTAAATCTGTCTGTTTGTCAGTCTGTCTGTCACAAAAACGTTAACCTTGGTAATAAATTTTGAATGAGAAGAGATACGGCTTTCATATTTCACATGTATATTACCTGTGAGAAGACCTTTCCAAAT